ACCCTAAACCCTAAACCCTTACCCTCCTAAGTCAAAGAAAGTATCCTTACGGAAGGCAACAAGACCACCACCATGCATAGGAGAAGGAATGACGTCTGTGCTTCCCCAGAAACCCGCCACTTGTGATTTTTCTTGCACATTCCAATCAAAGGAAACTGAGCATCTGTATAAATAAAATAAATAAATAAATAAAATAAATAAATATAATATAATATAATCTTATTATATAATATAATATAATATATATTTAGTTTATTTAACGCAAACAAGAGGAGGGAAGAGAGTACAAAGCATGCAACGCATGCGATGCAGGCAAGGCAGCCAACAGACATATTTTGAACAAGTAATAAAACTGCGAGCAGCAGCAGCAGCAGCAGCAGCAGCAGCAGCAGCAGCAGCAGCACAGTAAGAAGAAGGACAGGGAGGCACGTCATCTAGTTGACTAGGAAAGAGGTGTATGCATTGTTACTGTAATGTATATTCTATTGCATGTATATATGGTGTACATATATTTAATTTATTGCTATATTCATATGCATGCATAAAATTTATTCATGCATGCATGCATGCATGCTATATATATAGTACCCTATTCCTGCATCCTTATGCATATGGAAATCCGTCGAGGAAATGGATAAAGTTTGAGGAAAGACGAAAGATTTAGGCGATTCATGAATTCTTTTTAATTGTGGCTCGAGCCAACCAAAGTTAACTTCTATATGACTATCAAGAATAACAACTACTGGGGCTGCAGCAGCACGAATACCATGCATGCGTGCAGGTACTATCCCGCTTCTCTCCTCCATACGAAGCTGACCATAGAAATACAGCAGCAGAAGAAGTAGCAGCAGCATATGATCATCATGATTATGATAACTGCTGCAGCAGCAGCAGCAGCAGCAGCAGCAAGTAAATTCACTAGGAGACGGTGGATTCAGCAGGAGCAATTCAGTGCAGCAGACGTAGATGGATGCAGCAGCAGCAGCACCATGTGTACCAAGAGCTACTAGGTGCAGCAATCGGAGCAGCAACAACAGCAGCAACAGCAGTAGCAGCAGTACCAGCAGCAGCAGCAGCAGGTAATTGAATTATATTTACCAATTTAACTTTGGGTAATAAAGGTAAATAAGAATCTAATTCATTTCCTGGTAATAGAGAAGTACTATTAGATGAATCATCAACTAATATAAATTCACGAATAAGAGGAGGAGGTGTATAATTAAGTACAGAATGTATAGATCGTAATAATGTAGATAAAGGTTCGTTATAAAATGTCATTATTATTGATACATCTACTGAATCACTTAATGATTTATAGTCGTAATTTACTGATAAACACATTGGATCCCTACAAGAAAAAAAAAAAAAAAAAAAAAAAAAAAAAAT